AAATCCTAATATCTTATTATTTATTTTTTCTATACGAATGTTTCGTTGATAAAAAGTTCAGATACTTAATGAAAAACACGTACATGGAAAGAACGGAAAGATTTTTAAGCATTTCAAGAATTAGCTAAATGCAATTTGGAAACAATTTGGACCATCAAAATAATTATGTAGGACGCTCAAGCTAGTTATTAGAAAACCATTTGCAATATTATTCATCATGTTAATTATTTTAATGATTTAACAAAATTATTTTCAGCTAAATTCTTAGATTCTTGAATTTTTTTCCGTGTGTATGACAAAACATAAAACATTAAAAGATAGATAAGGATTCAAGGGATATTTACCTTAGATATTTACTTTTCAATCATTTTTTATGTGTATTTTCTTAAATAAAAGTAAATTTTTAGTATAAACGTTTTTGTCTACTCACTCAGCTATTAACACATTCCTTACGTTACTTTCTCCTGTTTATAATATCACCTTCATTTTCATTATATCAATGTAGTTTAGGCACACAAATCGACACTCTCTAGAAGCCGATTATTTCTCGCGACGAATTAATTCGTGATCGGTTGAGCAGGCCGTCAGGTCCGCCGGTGGTTACGCCAGCAGCGATGTAACCAGCGTGCAAGTATTTTGGGTCGGGTGGGTCCCGGTCGGATTCTCGAATCCCTTTCTCGGCCGCACATTGCCCTCGGGCTCTTCACGGTTCCCAAGGGGGTCAGAGGTCGCTGGGCCCTCCTCCACCTCGGTTCCTCACCCCGCTGCGTCTCATCGACCCGCCACTTATGAACCGCCCATCCTCCCTCGTCTCTCTCGCGCGAAAGAGTTATTCATTCGTTCGGGTATGACGAGAGATGTCAGGGCGCGAATCTCATAAAAATCGTGAAATTATAAATTATACCAGGATAAGTATACACGGGGATGAGCGACGAGAAGAAGCAAAATGTTGTAATTTCAAAGTGTGTAACAAAGTAGACAACGTATCTTGCTTTCTGCGAGCAAAGAGAGGCTGAAGTTTTTTTTTTTAATGGTAATGTGTATTTTATTCAAAATTTATCAAGTTAAAATTAATATAATAAATTATTATAACAATTAATACTATTAAATATCTTCAAATTATCTAAATAAAAGATATTTGTTGATATTGACTTATAGTTTTCTTCTAAGAACTTTTGATTGTAGAAGCTAAAAAATGGAATAAAAAATATATTTATTATTTCGTATTTAATATTTTATTTTATATTTTTATATTTAATTAAAACAACTGTTTTATGACAACATATTTACGATATTCCGCTAGAGACATTGCTCTATTTTTTTAGCAATAATATTTAACGATATTTTCACGAGACGGGAGGAAAACATGCCGAGGGAAGTGCGTGTTCATCGGATGAACATCAGTCGAAGGGGCGGCTTCGTGGGACTTGAGGCCCAAGTCGGGGTCGTTTTTGCGAAGCCTGATAGCCGACAATTACGCGGTCACGGCGATTGGACGAGTCGTTTTCGCGGGAAGCATGGACCAATCGAAGCACTGGATATTACCTTCTCTCTCTCTTCCTCTTCATCCCGCTTTCTCTCCCCGGATCTTTCTTCTCGCCTAGAGTATTACTCGGCGCACCGCAACAAGCACGTTTAGTCTAGTCAGAGCTGCACCTGTGGGTGAATCTGTAAGCGAATCTGCTATCAGTGTCCAACAATCGTTGAAAAGTGCAGAAAAACGCATTTTTTTACTTCCTTTCAATTATTTTTTTTAATCATCTTTTTCCGATTTTTACATTCTACTTTCGAAGAAGGCGATCTCTAGTCAATGTGAGTGCAAAATTGTTGAAAAACAATTTTTTAAAGGAAATATTTGAAAGGATTTGAGTGTGAAGAAGCCAAAAGATTGAAAGAGAACAGATTTTGAGTGTATAAAGCAGTGTGAAAATCTATCAAGATATTAAATCTGTCAAAGTAGCGTGTTGTACTAAATCACATAATTATGTGCACGAATTAATTTTAAGTGAAAGTGTAAAATTATGAGAAAATATCAATTGGAGATGTTGATTTTCTAAATATCTAATATAAATTAAAAATGTAACAATAAATTATTAAAAGATATTGAGATAAAATGTTGTCACAAGATCTTTAATCGGTTCAATTTGATTATAATGATCGTATATTATAAATAAACGCTAGTGTATGTAAAAGTATCGTTGATCTTAGTGAGTTCAATGGATTTTCTGAGATTCCTCACGATTCTTATGTCGCCTCGATAAAATATAAAAGCATAAAAAGGATAAAAAAAATACACTTTGTATAAAAATAAAAATATCGAGATATAATCACGAGGCTGCATGAAACGCGGAACGAAACATCACTTGACAGTGATGTCTTCATCATGGGTATTAAGCCAATGGCAGCGACAACATCGACGACAACCCTTCGAGTGATCTAGATGATAACGTGATGATTAGCAGTTAAATGTTAATGAGTTTCCGCGATCAAACAGCGAACCAAAGAAGCGGAAGCGATCGCATAGTTCAGGTAATTCTCGTTCCTCTCTTGCTCAGCGGCTTTTTTCTCTTGCCAATTATTTGTTCAATACACAGACATCATCTGTCAAACGATGTTCGATAGTGATGGTAAACACGGAGAATCGCTCTCGTATCTTTCGACCGTGTCGAAGAAACTTGATAAAAGCTCACCGGATAGCGACGGGTTCAGGGATAACGAGGATTTATTGTGGCTTGGATTGAATTGTACCTACGTTTATTTACGAGAAAGCTGAGGAGTTTATTACGGGCTGTGAAAGGAACTCTCGGTGATCTTTTGTGATCTGTTCTCATTCTCATGAGATAAAGGAGATAGATAAACACGATTCATCATGCATATCTCTTTAGAGAATTAATCTTAGCGTTTGCTTTAGCTCTCTCAATTTTTTCTATAACATGCAAAAAATAGTATGTACAATAAATGATACTACATGCTTCAGTTGTAAAGTTAGCTTTCGTACATGCGATAAAAACTTTGATATTGTGATTCTGAAAATTATACTAATACTGTTCCAATCTTTCTAATTTTGTAATTGTCACATTTTCATTTCTAACATGATTTTACGTATTATTTCTTATATAGACAGATTTCTTATATAGATTTTATATATTATTTCTTATAGAGATAAAGTATCTGACAGTTAATTTTTATGTAAAGGCACATGGTAATTATTAAAAAGATCTATAATTATATGATCTTTCCCAAAAAGCTCTTGGCAATATTCACGCCTATGTTAAAAGTTACGCGCGTGTCACCGACAGCCACTTTGCGGTGCACGTGCTCGCTGATCACGTGCGTGCAAATCGGGTCGTTCGACATTATCATCCGGATGCATATAAATTCATCGGCATATACTGAAGTATGCATCACACCGGTGATATTGTTTCAAAATATATAATTAAAACGAACGTGGTTTATAAATCAAAACTTATGAAAAGAAGAGTATAAAACCACAGCACAAGATATTGTTTGTGATATTTAATTATCATTATATTAATAAAACATTAGACGTTTCGGCCATCTTCAGTAAATTCACAAATATTCTTAAAACGTAGAATTACGTATATCTGACATTAAATTCAGCCGTCGTGTAATAAGAATTTCCAGTATAAAATTCAGCCGTCGTGTAAAATGAATTTCCTGATTCTGTTTTACAGATTATTATTTTTTTAGAAAATAATAATACACAATGTCACGATGAATTTCACATCTGTGTAAAGGAAGTGCTTAAGATTCATTTTTTCTGTAAAACAGAATCTGGAAATTCTTGTTCTACATAATTCGCAATATGACAATTGGCGCTGCAGCATTGTTGTACGATGCACCTTCACAAGATAAAAGAACACGTTTATACATAATTATATTGCACGACGGCTGAATTTAATGTCAAATATATGTAATTCTGCGTTTTAAGAATATTTGTGAATTTACTGAAGATGACTAGATTGTGGCCGAAACGTCTAATGTTTTATTAATGTAACGATAATTAAATATCACAAACAATATCTTGTGCTATGGTTTTATGTTCTTCTTTTCATAAGTTTTGATATTGTTTCAATATTAATTTTATCATATGAACTTTACAGTAATTCAATAATGAGTTTAATATTAATCTGTAATATGTTAAAGTTTATTATTAATGTAGTATTAAATCACAGATATTAATTTAATAAAATATGCTTTGACATCAATATTTTTACGCAATATTGGAATTTAGATTAGCGTCAGAGAATATCGCAGTATTCTTGCCTACGAACAAGTCTTACTCGTCATATTTTCACGCGATCGCGGATTCAACTGACGTAATCGACATTTAAATCGCGCGAGATCGATAAATCTTAGCGCGGCAGCCACGATTACTCGTTCGCTTCCCATGAAGAAAAGGGTCTCCCATCGCATCGCCATGGCATTCCGCTGATACGAGTAAACGAGCAAATTCGTAGGTTGAGGTCCCCCCTACGGGCCCTACACCGCGTCCGATCGAATCCCATAAGTCACGGGACTCGAATACTGTGTTTAAGCAGAGAGCTTATTCTCTCGTCCATTATCCTCCGTGCGTGTAAGGCCCCGAAATGTTTTTCGAGATCCTCGGCTTCGAAGGGAACGCAAAGTGATCGTGGCACGCAAATCACAATACATAGAAGTTATCCTTGGTCGAGCCAATATTTTATAATTTCTATTATGGTCTATTTTTATCTAATTTTATCGAAAAAATAAACAATTACACATCTCATCTTTTATTCAAACTTTTTTTGTTTCTTTTTATTTTCATACATTTATTATTTAATTTAATTATTGTTACATACAATATAAACGATATTTTTATAAAATATACATACAAGATTAACAATATTAATTTATTGTTTTATACATCTTGGAAGGAATTTATTCTCGCTATTTTAAAATTTGTTTCTTTTTTTTTTTAATCGATTTTTAAAATTGAATATTGTTTTGTGTTTTAGGGGATTTGAAAAGGCGACATTCTTGGAGTAGCGAGATCGACTATCAGTTGGAGGAAACGGAAGCTGTGACTATTTCAGGGGAAGATCCCGCTGTTCTAGCTCCATCGCTTAACGATAGAATCTCTTACAAGGTACCGTACAATATATAATCAATAAAAAAAGACAATACAATATGTGTAAAAAGAATTTATTTTCAAACATTTTTAAAAGAACGTTTAAAAACAAATTATTAAATTGTTTATATAAAAATTTGCTTTCTATTCGTATATAATACAATTTATGATAATCATTGTGCAATTTGTATAATAATTTTATAAAACCATAATAATGTAAACTTCACATTTACAACGAATGTTATATACTCTTCGATCCTTATCTAATGAAAAACGTCAACGATAATTGTTTTTATGTATCAATACTCGACACTGTTTTTATTTTGTATACATAATCAAAAAATAAAAAATGCAATAGAAATAATATTTGAAATGAAATAATTATGCACATTGTAATACTCAGTTGTTAAACTAACATTATTATTTTAGAATTCAAGTGATCACTATTAATATTTGAAGATATTTATGTTTGTAATTTTTTAGCTATGTATATGTATAGTAAAAATTAATATCAACTTAAAATTAATGTATGAGCTTAGAAATTTATTCGCGCTTGAGAAAGAAGCGACGACCGTAAATTTCCAATGACACGGTAAAACACGGTCGGAACCTCATGAGAATCCCGCTAAATAATTCATCTTGACGATCTCGCCATGCGGGTTAATTGAACATCTATGAGCATGCATTAATAATTCACTTTCTGCGCGAATGAAAAAATGGCTCCTCCAGTGAGCCGACAGGATGAGAATCCAGTACTTACCCGGATTACTTTCGGAAGTTTTGATTGTTCTCCTCATAAAGCATAACTGCTATGATAAAATTGAAATTTTCTTTTCAAAGAATTTGTTATAAGAGTTTTCAATATTTAATATTAAATAGAATTGAAGGAGAAATCAATATTGCGCATAATATCTGAATGTTTACATTTCTCTATCATATAATGCCGAAATTATTTTTTACATATATTTAATTTATTCATACAATACATAATATTTTTTTAAGATATTAGTCTAGATTAAGTCTAGAAATCAATAGAAAAATGCAGTAAGAAAACTATTTTTTTCCACAAAAAACATCTTTTTCTTAAAGGATATGAAAAATGTAAAGGAGATATATCGTATTTTAGTTTTCTGCTTCAGCTTCGTTCCAAGCGATTAGTCACGTTCTAGAAACGCGAGGATGCGACACGGCATTAATAAAAAAAATATTACACGACATTACATGGCATTATGTATGTCTCATGAATAGTGATTATTAATTTAATATATTGAAAGAGAATTACATCAGATGAGTTTATCATCTTAGCACACTTAGAAGAAAAATTAAATCGTAGCAAACGCTATAAGTAAAAATTCTAAAAATTATAATTATGTTCATTGTCCACAACAAGCAAGCTGACATTATTTGTCGTCATTTTGACGTCAGTATGTTTGCTGAGCAATGAACTCAATTATAATTTTTAGAATTTTTATTTATAGCTTGCTACAGTTTAATTCTTTTTTGGATGATTATACTTTACGTTTTGTATTAAAACAATTTTCAAAATTTTAATTGATAAAAAAAAATTTTTATTAAAAATAAGATTTTTAATGAATTTCAGCGTATTATTTCTGCGTCTTCTTTATTAAATTATCGAGAAAATGTATTCTCTAGGAGTATGGCTGTTCGGTGCAGACGGTGGACCTGGTGGCGGACTGCCCGTTGCAGATCGTGACGGGTAACTCGAGATCGCCATCACTCTCGAGAGCACCGACACCCTCCCCGACGTTCATCTCGTCGTCGACGAGCATGGGGCAACGCTCGAGTGCCTTGTTACGCCCCAGAATCTCGTTAACTTGGGTCTTGCGTGGCCAACAACAATCTAACTTGGGTCCTGGACCCAATAACTATTCGACCATTAACGGCAGTGGAGGTGAAAAATCATCTTTTTTTCTATTATTTGTCATTTTATTTGTCAGTTTATTTTGAGACTAATACTGATAATATTATGATATCATGTTAATAAGAAACTTTGCTTCAATTTATTATTATTATTTTTAACATAGAAATAAATGTTACAATATTATACTATCTTGTTATGTTATTAGTAAACTATATATATGAAATTATGCAAAATGTTTCCTTGAAAGGTACAAATAATGATCGAGACACTTTTTCGCGGAGTAGCAAGAGATCTTCGAGAAGAAGTGTTAAAAGTATCAAGGACAAAGACGCTGTTAGCAAGGAAAATATCGAGAACAAGGAGAGCATCGAGAAGCGCGAGAAAATTTTGCACAGGCTTCAAAAGATCGAAAGAATCGAGAAGGTAATCTTTAATCTTTAATCTTTATTTTGTAATACGGGATATAAATTTTCTTTTAAATAAACTCCCATTATCCTAAGTTTATTATTTTTGAATTTAACAAATACCTTTTACTGTTTTCGAACATTTCTTTTGAAGACTGTTGACAAAGAGACGATCGGTGAAAAGCAGTTGGACAGTCCTCTCGAGAGGCACTTTAACAAAGAATTTATCGGTCTCAAAAATACGAAAGAAAAGGAGAAAGTAAAGAGAGCCGTATCCGAGCCTTCCCTAGTATCTCGTGAATCAACATCGACACCCAATGGACGAGAGAAGCACCGACATAGGCGGACCAAACGTTCGCATAAACCTAGACTACCCAGTAGATTCGGTTATGAGATTGCCGATCTTGACGCGTTCCTAACTAAGGTGCTTCTTATCTTCTATTTTTTATCTCTTATAATTCTATAACTTTTTTATTCTTTATAGAATTAATATCTTGTGTTTATACCTATAGTATAATTTACAATTGTAATCGTAGGCATCTATAGAAAGACCAGCGAACATCCCAGTTGTCCTGTCTTTCCCATCGGTATTATATCAGACTCAAGGCGGTATACAGGATGAAATGGCTCTTCCTCTTGGTACAGTTGTGAATGCCGTCTTCAAAAATCAAACCTGGCTATACGTGCAAACACCTCACGGACAGGAGGGTTACGTCGGCTACACTGCCTGTTTACCCTTAGGGATCTTACCACAACCTACACGAGGACCATGCTGGGAAGATTCCACTGATGTTTTTCCTCGGCCATTAGGTATAAATGGAATATTCCTATAAAACTATAAAATAAGTCCTGTAATGTTTTGAAAAATAAAGTAATTAGAATAATTGAAAAAAAAATATTTTATTAATAATTTAATTTCTTTAGATATAAATTAATTCTGATACATTTCAATTATAATTTAATTAAATCTTTAATTAAATCTTTCCTCCTCGTATCTCTATTAAGTTTCAAATTTTTAACTCACCTTTTTTTTGCTATCTAATAGATTAATTTAATTTTGTTCTGTTCGTAATTTTCTTTCAAATAGACATAAAATATTTTTTTTTTTTCATCAAGCTCTTAATTTTTTTAACTGTTTGTTTTCTTCAGGAAATATGACAGACATGGAGAAACTGCGTGATACTAGATCCGAGTGCGGGGCAAGTCGTGGACGCAGCGGCAGAATGAGGCGAGGACCAAGAGACGCGGTATCGGCATGCGGTGAACGGAGTGTCGATCGGTTGTATCTAAGAGCAGCAGCAAACGCGCGCACCAAAGGCTCGCGGTACACACTCCTGGTGATTAGGAATGATTACGAGGCGCATGCCGCAAATGCTTTGACGGTCTCGAAAGGCGATGTGGTCGCTTTGCTGAGCGATCATACGAACGACTGGTTCTGGGTGCGTTCCAGGGATGGCAGAGAAGGATTTATCCCCGCGGTCATCGCCGGTCATGGTTTTCTCTGATCCCTTTTAATCAGAGGGATGCTTATTTAATGTTAACAAATCCTTGTTTACGAAATTCGTGAAGAAATGATATTACACTCTCGGAACAATATTTTTATAAATACTGCCAAACTTACTTGAGTAGAGTCGAATTAATCTATTAACAGTTTTGTAATTATAACATGAAGAATTTTTGTTTTATTTTTTAAATAATTATATTATAAACAAAAGAGAGAATTTTTTATGTATAGTTTCACAAATGTGATATTACAAATTCAGTATTTATTAAAGAAATATTAATTTTAATTAAAAATATATTCTTTTTTATTAAATATTATATATAAACTTTTTAAATTTATAAATAAAAGGCAGAAAAAAGGAGTGTGCAAAGACTTGTTATTTTGTGTATAATACTTGGCAATCACGAAAAAGGTTGTCAAAATTCTTCGGCAAATACAGATAAACTTTCATGTTTATCTGTATTTTATTCTATATTTTCCTAAGAAAGGAAAAAAGACAATATAAAAAGTATAATTATAAGAATAATTATATAAATGCATGTATATCTATTTTTGCATTTCATTGCGCAAATATCGCTTGTATATTTGTACAAAAGAATCATATCATATAAAAAATGTATACTTTATTAATATATTTATTTAAAAAATTACAAATTAATTATATTTAATTCGTTCATCCAAACTATTTGGAAAAATCCTTATTGGAAAATGAAATTCCCATTTAACACGGAATTTCGATAATTCCTAATAATTATTACGCAAACTTGAGCATCATTTCGCGGTAATTGTAGTTTGTGCTAATATCAATACAATTTGAAGAGCCAGCCACACTGAGCACTTTATGTGGTATTTCTTGATGTACTACGCTATAGACTGTGAGACTCGAGGTGGGAACTTTGGCTAGAATGTCGCCTTGATATGTCATATGATGAACATGGTCGGTCGTACCCCCAGCGATTACGCGTTCTTCATAGATCTCTGCTACATGGATTCCTTGATCAGCCAAATCGAAAATTGTCGCTACCTCCATCGTTCGTACGTGCCACAATGATAAACTAGGCCCACCGCCACACAGCTAGAATTATTATAATTAGAATATAATTAAAAATTGATTTAGATGTAATTCATTTCCTTTATTTAATCTCCTTCCTTTTTGATAAATATTTTGATAAATATATCATTACTTACCAACCAGTCTTCCGTGAAATCAACAGCACCAATCCATTTTCCAAGTCGTGGTCGAGCGACTTTATCTATTAAATGAGGCGTTAATATATTAGTGTTCTCTCTTTTGCGCAAATCCCATAATCTCACAGAACCATCCTCGCTACAGGATGCAAGCTGATTATCCCTAAAATTCGCGGAAATCTAAATTATAATAAATTTAAATAATACCAGCAATAACCCTAACTTTTGTATAATGTAGTTCTCATAGTCAGATCGAAAAATAATTACATCATAGCAAGGCAGTGTATGTAATCAGTATGGCCCTGCATGCTTCTCAGAATCTTCCTGTTTTCTAAGTTTATGACATAAATATTATTATCACCACAGCCAACATACAGTAAATTATTCATTTTTGAATACAGCATGTAATTTATGTCTGGCTTCTCATAACTGTCTCTGAAAGAAAATATATATTTTATTTTTTTATTCTAAAAGATAAATATACAAAGTTTATATTTTACAATTCTAAACATATATTAGGTGTTGGAATTAATTCGTAGCGTTTTACAAGTGATGGGAAGTACTTTCATTAATGTATTTTTTAATGCTCATGTGAAATAAATAACATTCTTTCATTAAAAACGCTACGAATTAATTCCAACACCTAATATCACAATTTTTAATACATTTTGTTTTAATTATATTCTTTTAATGTCACTTACTTATTAGCAGGAATTTGTATATTCCATGATACTTTACTCTTAAGAGCCTTATTCGATGTAACTATCTTCCAATCCCATCCCGATATTTCACCACGTGTTCCTGTCACAAGAAAATTTTCCACAGAAAGCATACATGCGACTTCCTGATCGGGATGTGCAGCAAAGCGATAACTAGGTCCTTGTAATTCATTCTCCTTGTTAGGCCCTAAGGCCTTTGACAGACTATTTGAAAATTTAGAAAGCAAATTAAGTAATTTAAAAATAAAATGTTTGCCTGATTTCAAAGACTAAGTAGTATGTACACATCTTAACTGTTTTCAACTTCTTGCAGAGAATCGCATGAGTATGGCAACAATATACGTTAGATACATTGGAAACAAAATTCCTCATTCAAAAATTTCCTTACTCAAATATTGAGATATCCCCATAAATATTGCCAGCCAGAAGATAATTTCCATCGGGTGAAAATGTTTGTGATAGCACGGTGTTGTAAAGTAATTTCTTGTCAGTCGATTCTATCATTTTCTCCATAGTTTATTACACATACACATGCACAATCAATCGTTTTCCTCTCTAATATTTTATCATAATGCTAGCAACTTAAGAGTTTTTTTTTACACAAGTCTTGTAAACAAGATTATCGGACAATTAATGTGCAGTAAAGTCGAATGTTTACCAAAGTATTTTTAGGTTAGGGTTAGAGGCTTAGATTAGGTTAGGAAAACATCGCAGAGCTTTAGAAGCCTACCGTTTTTAAAAATTAAAGAAATATTTAATGATATTTAATGATAAACTCAAAGTTCACTTTAAAAAGGGAGATTTAACGAGTAAAAAAGAGCTGAAAATTCTCGCGCATCGAACACAATCCACGAATTTTTTATATCAATTTCTTTAAGCTTGTTTATAACATTGTACAGTAAACACAAAACGATGACGTACTTTATGTGCAAAACAGAAAGTAATTATAAAGAAAAGAATTTCTACGTTGATAACGCGTTGATAAATGATAACACGATTGCAAAAACTGTGATAACCTTGTCATATTCCGCGCGATTTCACACTGATCATGTGACCGCCGTTTCACGACCATCAGCGAACGTTCCAGTTAGTCTTGTAGTCAAATATATATGCCCAAAATTCCGAATCTCTTTCTCTTAGCACCGGTCTCAGGTTCAGTAGGGTTCAGTCAAATTCGGAGTTCGTTCATCATCTGAGGTTAGTTTTTGTTCTTCACATTTAGAAAGCGAAGAATTATACTCCAAATGGCACACACCACAAGACTGCTCGTGACAACTGGCAATTTCCTAAAAAGTGCCTGCAATCCCTTTACCATGGCTGCGAGATCCTCCAGGTGAGTTTTCGCCGTTCAATCGCCTGAACGAATGACCTTTCGACCTTCATAAAATTATCCAGATGCATGCCTTTTTCATTGGAGGTATGATTATATTATCATTATCTCTATCAAAATTGGAGTCTTAATTTTATTCTATGGCTTATCTAGTTTAATTAAGATTTCGAGATATGTACAGTCATAAATTGCAGAAAAGTATTAAGAATCAGCACAGCGAGAAGATCAATTAATTTAATTATTAATTGAAAATATTTGAACATGTATCTACTTTAGATATGTATAAAGTCATAAAAAATGAGTAAAAAAAAAGTACAGAAAGAAACATCTGAGTTCCTTTTAATTGAATTAAATTATCTTTTATAAATTCAAATTTCTATGATCCTGTTGTTTTTTTAACGTACATCGCCCTTGAAAGATAAGATGCATTCCGTTTCACGCATGATGTGCGTAATACATCATTCATCCTTGTTTACTGAATGTTAAACAAGGATAAATGATGTATCATGCGTATCATGCATGAAACGGAATGTACTTTATCTTTCAAGAGCGATGTATGTTACAAAAACAACAGGTTTATAGAAATTTGTATTTATAATCCCTTAATATCTTATCTTCTTGATATGAAATCAAATAAACTATATAATAATAGCAATTTATTTAAAACACATATGTTACAGTTCATGGTGGTCTCATGTTGAAATGGGACCACCAGATGCCATTCTGGGAGTCACCGAGGCATATAAGAGAGATCAAAATCCAAAGAAAATCAATTTAGGTGCTGGCGCTTATAGGGATGACAATGGCAAACCGTATGTTCTTCCGAGTGTTCGGAAGGTTAGTTATAAATAAAATATCAATTTTAGAAGAGAAAAATTAATATTATATATAGATATAATGATAAAATTATGTAGATAATTATTATATAATATTAATTAATATAGAAAGTTATTATATATAATAAGTATAATAAGTATACAATTTTATTTATTATAAAATATAATACAAAATGTATTTTGGATGAAATAACAGGCAGAAGAGAAAATACGAATTAAAGAAATGGACAAGGAATACTCCACAATTGCTGGCAACATCGAGTTTTGCCAGCATAGTATTAATCTAGCTCTTGGAGATGAAAATGAAGTTGTCCCGAATGGATTGGTAAATATTATAATATGACAATAAAATATGTAAAGTTTTTTCTTAACAAAGATTTTTTTTTTTAGAACGCAACAGTCCAAGGAATTTCCGGTACTGGTTCTCTCTTTATTGGAGCACAATTTCTGTCTCATTATTTCCCTGGCAATAAGGAAATTTATTTACCAACTCCTTCATGGGGGAACCACACTCCTCTATTTAAACTTGCCGGGCTTACAGTCAAATCTTACCGCTATTATGATCCAAAAACGTGTGGTTTAGATTTTAAAGGAGTAATGGAAGATTTATCTGTTAGTACAAAATTTTTAAAATAAAAGTAATGACTATTATTGTAAATATTAATGCATGCATCGGTAAAATATCTAAAAATAAATATTAATCATAAAATTTTATCTAAAAAATAAATATTAATCATAAAATTTTAAATCGAATTATTTAAAACTATAACAACTAACGTTTATGTACTAATGTAAATGTTTTCTAAATATTAATAGTGATTTCTAACAAATATGAATAATAATTACAATTGGGCAAAAATTTTACAGACATTGCTCATAAAATCAATACATGCAACATTATACTAATTAACATTAATAATTCTGAAGGAATATTAATATTTTATCATACTAATGATGATTATCTGTGAATAGAATATTCCTGAGAAATCAATTATCCTCCTACATGCATGTGCTCATAATCCTACTGGTGTCGATCCCAAACCGGAACAATGGGGAGAATTGTCTACTCTGATTAAGAAGAAGAATCTGTTCCCATTTTTTGACATGGCATATCAAGGCTTTGCCTCAGGTATTTTTTAACATAATTTATCTATTACTATTAACCTTACAATACTTATAATTTTAATATTAGTGTATTTTAACATTTTTTTATAACTTTACTTATTTTATTTTTCTATAGGAGATCTTACAAGAGATGCTTATGCAGTTAGATTATTTATTAAGGAAGGTCACAAAATTGCTTTAGCTCAATCCTATGCAAAGAATATGGGTCTTTATGGTATGTATAAATAAAAATATACTATATCTATAAATAAAAATTATATGTATATATATAAAAGTCAAAAATATATTAAACTTTCTTTTATTTCTTTAGGTGAGCGTATTGGAGCGTTCAGTCTAGTGACATCTAATAAAGACGAGGCTGTACGCACTTTGTCACAACTGAAGATATTGATTAGGCCCATGTATTCAAACCCACCCATTTACGGAGCTCGTATAGCTAATGAAATCCTAGGCGATCCTGAACTGCGAAAGCAGTGGCTATACGATGTAAAGGGTATGGCCGATCGCATCATTTCGGTTCGCGCAAAGTTGCGTGATAATCTGAAAAAGAACGGTAGCACTCGTGACTGGTCTCACATCACTGATCAAATCGGGATGTTCTGTTATACTGGTCTAAAGCCGAATGAGGTAATCTTTTTTTCTATATTAATACCTAAATATATTTACGTAATAATGTTCTTTAAATAAGAAAATTAAAATAAATTACCAAAATAATTATAATATCATTATGATTAATTATCGATTTTTATTGTTAATTTGTTAACAGGTAGAAAAACTTACAAAGGACTTTAGCATTTATTTGACTAAGGATGGCCGCATTTCCATGGCTGGTGTGACATCGAAAAATGTAGAATATTTGGCACATGCAATGCACGAAGTTACCAAGTAACTTCCGCTACTATTTGATATTGTATACAAACTGAGCAAGTGGAAGTAACAATTTTGATCAAGATAGAAAAATATATAGAAAACCACACAACACGGATATGAAATGAATCTTTTTTAAATTTGTACAGTCAATATTCATTTTGATTTATATATTTGGTAAATATCTATTCGATTTTTAAATATTCGCGAATAATAATTTATCTGCTGTTATGCAAAGTAACATCTCGTACAACAGTAAATAATTGGATAATTATACAGTTTGATACATGTATTTGCTTGTATTATTAATGTATAGATTTAAATTAAAAAATTATTTTTATTTTTATAATAGTTTAGATATTTTAATATCAATGATAAGTATATTTGTCTTTAAAAAATTTTTGTATAATATGTCTGTGTTGTATGGAAATGAAATAATTGTATTTTATATAATTTGTATTATAATGCGAATATTATAATGTGAAATAATGCGGTGAATAGTACGAATTACGAACATTCATATGTTGAACATTAATTGCAGCTGTGTATATTAGATTCTAGTAGAAAATGCTCGTTTTGTGCTATCCATTTTTATATCTAACTTTTAATTTTTTATTTTTTATTCTAAGATCTTTGAGATCGAACATTTCCTCTATTCTAAATTATTTTTGCGAGAGATGTTTATATTTAATTGAGAATGATGAGACACAAAAGTGTCTCATTCTTTTTCATTCTAATATTTATGAGAAAGATAGGAAATAACGTGACATATGAGATAGCACAAAGCTTTGTTTAAGTAAAATTAACAGACTTAGAATAGAGGAAAATTTTTAGAATAAAAGAATTAGACTGTGTTTTATATTCTCATTTATAAGCATCTGAAGAGCTTTATTAGAGATACTAAGTTTCTTGTAAAGTTTTTATTGTAAAAAATACAATATATATAAAGATCATATTCATATTTTTCTCATTTACTGTTTTATTTTCCTGCAATTTAAACATGATTACATTTAAGAAAAAAATGCAAGTTTACTGTAATTGTATACTTCGTTTTTTTTTTACATTACTCTATGTGTGTGTGTGTGTGTGTGTGTGTGTGTGTGTGTGCGCGCGCGCGCGCGCGCGCATGTGTGTAATATATATATATTTTTTTTTTCTACATGTTTGTGCTAAAGTATTAAAGATTATTGAATAATGAAGGTTTTATATTTCACGATCAAGAAGGAAGTAAAATGTTTTATATGTACATATGTACAATCCTAGTAGTAGAATTATTGGCACAATATTAGCTCAGTACCTGATTCTATAATTTTTATGAGTCATTTACAGTTGAAGTAATAATGGAAGTAGTAAGAAACTGAGCAACATAATCGATTATTAATGCCTGCAGCATCGCAGTCAATAATATTGACTCAATATGGTAGCAAGAATCTAATTTAGCTAACAATCCAGCAAGAAAACAAGCATCATGCGTCACAGAAAATACCCAGCTTGGCATGTAGCTCATTTTTTATATAATTGTTGAAAAAGAAATACATTAAGCAAACCATGGCACATCGCTATAATCGGAATCTACTTCAAATTCAAATAATTCCGTAATACCCAGAGTCGGGTTAGGTTGGCTTGCATGTTTCCACCGAATCAGGTCTGCTCGCGTTGCTTGAAATCCCCAAATATTTTTGAATTTAAAATGAGAAATATATATTTGAGCTCTGATTTGAGCGTTGAAAAAAGAGAAAGCGAGAATGCTAAGTACATAGAAAAAAAAAAGTACAAACCATAATAGGGACAGGGAATAAAAGATTTCGACTTATTAGAAAGCATCTATTCTATTATCGGAAATGATTGAAAAATGACTTTTACTGATCATTTAGAAGTCATTTTGACATCATTTTGATATCATAATAACTTGTTCTGCTTGAAATTGTGAGAGTGGTTCACTTGGACATTGTTGCAATCGCCCACTGTCAATCACAGTGATTTTTGCTGTAGGGAGTTTATATATATATATATATATATTTTTTTTTATTTTAGCACTGGAATTAATTTGTGCGTAGTTTGTGCAATTGATATACATCCTATTGTGTCTACACCCAGACGTGCGTAAATTTTCGAAAATGCTTTGTATGTATATCATTTGTTCAATACTTACATATTTTACATTTTTACATAATGTCCCATACAGCAAAGATCACTCTACAGAGCAATATTGCAGGAATATTGCAACGTTCTAGAAATATCTAGTAACAGTCGCAAACGTAGCAGCAAGCTTCTATGCTGTATAGAGTAATAACAAACTATGCAAAAATAATTACAAATAGAAATAATTGAATACAACATAAGATTATACATATTTTTGCTTTCGTGTACAAAGTTAGCATATCTCAATTAGTGCTCGAATTTGGAGAGTTCTCGATTATTTCAATGTGTAATACTCATTTAATTTCATGCCTTATATTCTTCAGTAACGTGTTAATTTGCATCTGCAAACAGCTGCGACTCACCAACTGGATGATAGGGCTGGACAAAAGTAGTAGTCTGATTATTTAAAAACGTTTACTTAAAAATACAATCTTTTTAAACATAAATGGCAATACGAATGATTAGAAAGAGGGAAAAACATGGTTACTTAAGATTCTACTGCGGAAAATGACATTCTTTATCGGCACCGATCACCAAACAGCAGTTTGTCGATTTTCCGTATGCGGGTTTCCAACCCTCTTGCTGTGTTTGCTCTTTAATCGGCTGAAAATCCGATTGTGCAGCACCCGAGCAATAGACATCTCTGAATGAGACTGGCGACAAATAATCACGCAAAAGTGATATATTTCGCTCAACCGTAGCTCTTGATTGACGATTTCCACTTTACATAAAACAATTCTATGTGCTCCAGATTAACACCTATAACAAGTATATCAAATAAATATTAAGTTTTGCTGTGACAATGAGTCTTAAATTTATATTTTTTATTTCAATATTATAATTTTGTAATATAATTGTAACGCGATATCATATACAAAATTGTTGAGACACCCATGTAAAAATACTATGTAAAATTTTTTTTCATAAAAATCCATATAATTAATTTACTACCATATATATATAATATATAGTATATGTATGTGTGTGTTTGTGTGTTGTGTATATGTATGCGTGTTTATGTGTGTGTGTGTGTGTGTGTGGACACACACACACGCACGCATGCACACATATGAAACCAATTGATTAGTTGATTGCTTTATATTAGCATTCTAAGGACAATAAAAATACGAAGGTGATAACTACCTGCACTTTCTGCTAATCCATCAGGACTAAAATCCAAAGCTCTTCTATCGTCTGGCTTACAACCAGTCAGGAGAGTTACAACAGGTACCTCTCCGTCACCAGTAAAACCAACCTTCGCTTCCTGAGTCAGATAGTAACAACACTCTATTATCTGAAAAAATAACCATGCTTCCTTGTCCTTCGGTTTTGGTTCTGTTATTAACGGCGGCGCCAAACGTTCGTGTGGTCTCTGCGCCCGTAAAAATCTTGAGCCACACCTCAGTTGCACCTCCAGCCATCGTGTCGCTTCTCTCGCCTGAGCGCTTACACGTTTCACCTCGTCCAGAGCAGAAACAACTATAAATACAGTTTTATATAAATACAATTACAAATATAGTTTTATATAAATAATAGATAATAAAATAACTTCTGTATTCATTTTTTAATACAATTCTTTTATTTTACACTTTGAACACAGATTTACTTACCAACCGAGGGAATCACTACAACAAATATTTTTGCTTCCACTAAGCGTTTAAGAGCCGGCGTATGCTTGGATAAAGCTTTGTGATCGGGAACAAGATACGGCGACATCAATCGAGATTGTACTTGACTCTCTAAAGCTCGAACCTCAGCATTCAACCACAATTTGCCCATGTGTTTCATAAGTTTCTGTTTCGAGTATTCCGGTCCGAAATTTTTCTCGTCTAAACCTATTACCTTTGAAGTGTTTGAGGAATTTTCGTCCGTCACCGTGAACAATTGCTGAGTCTGATCGTATTGTACTTTTGAATTCTCTACGGAACAGAGATGGTGTCCGAATTCGATTAGCTTCAATACCCTCAGCAGTGTTTCTTCCCGCTTGTTCATTTTGTGTTTACGAAGTATTTGCCAATTGAGAGCTTTATGAGCATTTTCTAATAAATTTAACCCCCGAAGATCAATGTCCTCTGGTAGAGGTACGATCTTCGTATACTCTTTCAATTTATCTACACTGGATAGAATCGAGAAATCTTCGCTTCTCTGCACAAGAGTTTCAATATTCATATTGATTAGATTTAACAGGATCGTAACACGTTTTAATAATGTTCGCGAACTCTTGGCGCATATCCTCACAATGTCGGGGTTACTTCGAAGCCAATCGCAGCATACTTTAATAGACACAAGAATCTCCTTGTCAATCAATATATTCAAAATGTCATCCGATTTTAAGCTTTGCTTTTTCAACTGTGCCATATAAAAAATGTTGTCCGCATTGCATAAACGATCATTACCTTCCTCGAAAGTACTAGACGAGTCAGTATTCGTGATAGTTACCGCACTGTTGCTCACATAATTTATTACAGAATTTCTATCACTCAGTGCTTTCGAATCCGTCTGCTGATTGGTCGCGTGCTGTTGTCCGTTAACCAAATGGTTTATATCGTTTTTATCACAATCCTTCGTTTTGTCGACAATATCGCTGCCATGGCCGTTCATCTCTTTTTTCGCTGGCTGCGCTACATTTTCGATAGTCTGAATCTTATTTTCTGGAGAGTGTTCTTCGTCATCTGTATTATCGTCCGATAATGCATCGTTTCCCTCACTCAACGCGTCGTCTTCCGTTTCAGACACATCAGAGTTGATTTCGTCACTGGACGACGCTAATGTTAACTGATCTACGTCGCTCGCATCTGAATCAGAACTAGTTCTCCTTTTTCGTCTACGAAGTTTGCTGAGAAGACTTTTCGATTTGTTGCGAGTTTTTTTGGGACCTGATTTGTTTGTGAATCCGTTATCTGATGATTTAATTTTGTTAGTCTCATCTGAATTGAATACATTATTGTCTTTGCTAAAAATAGAGTCTTTTTCTTTCACGTGATTTCTGGTGTCTCCTGATTCAGATAATGCTTGATTTTTCTGTGCAGTTTTTAACTGGGAACAAGTATTTCCCTTCATAGTTGCTTCTACATTAGGCACAGCCATTTCTATGATCATTTCTTGTAATTTTCTTATTATAAACTCTAACAATTGTGACAGTATCGCTAAAGTTATAGCAACGACACCCTGTACTTCGTTGGATTCTTTATTTTTTAATCTAGAAATTGACATTAAACATATTGTCACGATTTTAAACATCATATCATCTGTTAAATAAAGCGTTGGTCTGTTTTTACAATTTTGAAGATATGTTTCTATGTTATCCATATTTTCAAGAGAATTTGTATTATTTGGCTCAATGTGATCCATTGTTAAACACTTCTCTATATCAGTTAAGAGATCCTGTTGAAAAAAAATTAATCACCATCGTAAATTGTGACAATGTTGTCATATAAAATTCAAATATCTAATAAATAACTTAACGTAAATATCTTAATGTTAATTAAATACCTGGCATTCTTGATTTATTTTATCAGAATTTGGATTTTCATAATCCCATAAACGTAACAAAGAAAATAATCGCGATACACAATGATGGACAGAATTGCTTTCATCTGTATAGGTCGACTGAGTTATTACAATTTTCTTTAAATTTCCTTCTGCTCCTTCAAATGGCTCAGGACACAAAACGCTGCAAAATAATTAAAATTATAATCAATATTGATTAAAAAATATTTACATATTAATAAAAAGAAAACAAAATTACTAGGATACAATTTATTATTGGAAAATGTATTAACATTATCATTACTTATTAAAATTAAATTATTATTGACACCAACCTTCTCATATAATGATAAACTGCATCTAACCCATAATTTTTATTGCCTGCTATAGTACCAAGTTGATTGTGAGGCATACCAATGTTTGGATCAATGGCTATAGCCATCTTATAATATCTGTTTGCTATCATTGGATCCCAGTTTGAATTTAATTCTAATTTGTACCTACTCAAGTCTCCAAGGCATACTAAGCTTCGATGGATCAAGCGCATGACACACTGTTTGAGCTCCTTGGTATGAGTTTTAGTTTGCCCTGTCTTAGTTCTTGCCTATCACAAATTTAGAATTGTATTACATTACATATTATGTCTTACATAACTGTCATAATTTGTATATAATATCACAATTAAAAATCATAATAATTAATATACTTTTAACATAAAACTTTTGTTTCTTAACCAGAATAAATTAAGTGAAATATTAAAAAATTTTCTTACATATGATGAAATACTTTCGTTTTGAATGAAAGCAAAATCAACAACACCAATAAGGTCTAGATCGTATTCAGTTTGCAGTCTCATTATCAGATGATGATAATATCCCACACCCACTGCCAAATGGATCGAAAGCAGTGTTTTTTCCACATCATTCCAGGTGTTATCCTAAAATATTGTTAATAATTATTTCTTATTATTATTCTATATTTTAAAAACTTATATATATTCATGTATACTTAAATAAATAAAATATACTACATATAAAATAATATATAATATTAGGTGCGCAACTAAGTTCTCGCTATTATTTTGATGGAAATGCCATCAAAATAACAGCGAGAACTTAGTTGCGCACCTAATATAAAAATTATTATGTGTATGTATACATATTAATTTCTATATATATTACTCTCTCTGAAATCTCAAATATATATAATTTCTTCCATATGCGTTAGATATATGTGAATAGGATGAGTGGAAGGTAATGATAGAAGCATCAATTTCATAATTTAGAAATACTCCGAATTTCATGATTTAGAGATAAAAATGAAGATATTCAGAATCTTGAATCATTATTATGAGATTTCAGGCAAAAAACTTATGGTCAGCTTCAATTTTTAGTATATTATATTATAAATATTACCTTCCGTAACTTCTTGGCTGTGTATACAACATCGTAGAAAGCCTTTCTCCAGAGAAGCTCTTCTATTTTATGCACATTTCCAATAGGATCTTTTAATATCAGTCTCTCGCAATAATCCTTAAGTTTCATACGCTGAATTTTTCCAGATGAAAGAAATATGTCGCTTACTGTCAGGGCACGATTCTTTTGCTCATCCAATTTCTTAACAATCTCTGTCACGCTTCTTAACAAAACAAATAAATATAAAATGCGTATTTAAAGAGTGAAACAGCATATTTTGCGTCACGTGTGAAGGTCATTATCAAAGATACATGTTTCACTGTACAATTTTTTTTCATTTACCAGGTAATCTATTATCATATCCAATGTTAAAAGTACAAATGCATTGATTAGATATTTTTCCAATTAAGAATGAATTAATTATGTCTGATATATCGGAAACCGCGCAAAATTCATCGAGAAACGTGCGAGTGAAGAAACAAGCATGGCGATTGAGACAACGACGGGTTAGGTTCACGTCTCTCGAAATCCCTTTGTTTCTCCAAGATCGTTATGAAAGTATCTCTTTTTTTTACCACAGTAAAGATAAAAAATAATACTTTCACAGTAGAATATTTTATTTCTACGCAAAGAAGCGGAGAGGCTTACTTGTGCAGACGTCTCGTGACTTCGAGGCAGTCCGTTGTTCGGGCCTCCACCGTGGCGTTAAACGTTCTTCTCATTTTGCGTTACTCATGACCCGCGTTCCGGCCGACTCGTCGTTACTCATTGCCCTGCGGTCCCCTGGGACGCGCATCTCCTCCGAAGACTCAGAAATCTCGACATTCGTCGCCCGTTCGTCGACACACCTCGTCGCTGCTACCTGTACAGTGTCCACCAGTGCCCACTTTCTCTTTCCGTTGCTCCAAACGTGACACCCGTGACACCCATCCACTATCTACTGCCCTTCCAGTCTGGTTGTCTGGTGAGTTTGGTTCAATCCGTCCTCAATTGCAGTACACTTAAGCCTATTGTACACTGGACGCGATGAACAATGAGCGATATCCAATGAGAGCTCTGCTTTGCATCGTCACGTGAGAAAAGCAGAGGATTTCATTGGATATCGTCACTCATCGCTCATCGTGTTTAGAAACCCTAGAAATAGGAATCCGGCTACTGCAAAAACTCCCTATACTGGTTATTGTGTTTTCATTTGAAAGTACCGGACATTTGTCAAGTGTTCGACGTTAGTTCGATAAAAAAGTAAACAAGTTAGATACAATAGATAGGCATAGAAAAGAAGATTTTTCGAATAATATATTACATGAATGTACAAATGAAAGATGAAGTCTATATACTTTTTGACTAGAATATTTTTATTAGATTATGATTTATAAGCTAAATGTATAGAAATCTGTAAGATAATAGGTTTGTTTACGCTGCTTGCACATTTTGCACTAAGCATCTTTGCTTTCTTTTTCTCTCACGCTCGAATATATATTTATTTCATTTAAGTGTAAAAATTTTGGAGGGGTTTCAAGCAACGCAAACAGATCTATTTAAGATAAGAATCTGAACAAGATAAGAAACATGATGAGATGAAAAATAAAATGAGTCAATAAATTTTTATAATTTTAGAGGATTCCAAGAATAATCATGCGTAACATTGAGATCAAAGCCGTAATTCGAGATATTGAACATACTATTTCAAAAGCTACAGAGCTGAGCGACACAGGTCAAACTGAAATCAAGCAGCATGATATCTTTTTCAAGACAAAGGAAGGAAGATTGAAATTACGAAAGTTTAAGGTTGGAGCAATTATTAAATTTTTCAATTATAAGTATAATTACATAATATTATCTGAATACCAAGCATTTTTTTCTTGTCCCTTAGGATGGTACTGCAGAGTTAATCTTATATAAGAGACCTGATGTTTCTGGACCAAAGTTGTCTACCTATGACAAAGTATCGTTAAACTCAGATATTGTTGAGTTATTTGGAAGTATTTTGACCCAATCTAATGGTATATTAGGAGTTGTTAAAAAAACGAGACTGTTATTCATTGCTGGACAAACTCGAATACACATTGACAAAGTTGATGGTTTGGGTAATTTTATAGAACTAGAGGTTTGTAAATTTATTTATTTTATTATATAGCCGTATCAATAATGATCAGTAAACATATAATATGGAATGGTATATCAATAAATACAGGTAGTGTTGAAAGAAGATCAGGATGTAATAACTGGACAGAAGATTGCTGACGACCTCATGCAAGCATTGTTCATAAAAAAAGATGACTTAATTGCGGAAGCATACATAGATCTGCTTAATTCCAAAACATAAGTATTGTTTATTCTGCTGTTTACATACTTTATATTTCCATACAGATGTAAAAAATAATAAATAATTATTTTATTTATTTCGTATAAAAGTATAACATTACAGTCCTATTTTTGCAATAAATTACGTGCCTCACACAATAGCAGTTTTCCTCATTTTTCCATGAATTGACGTTTCATTTTTGGACGTCTGTTCTTTATATCTGTACTTGAAATGAGTAAGTTGTATAATTAAACATTTGGAAAGAAAGAAAACAAAGATGGAAAGTACAAAAAGAATTAAAGAGAGAACATGAAAAGAAAGAGTGCAATATCTGAGTGCTAAAAGTGCAAGTAAAATGATTTTGGCGTCGTAACAATAATGACAATACTAAAATCACTAGATTTATAAATCTAGCGACTTTAGACAATCCGTTTCCTAACCTTAAACAACATTTTTAATTGCCTTAACATAAACACAAACGAAACAGCATCATTTTGTAATCGCAAATTTTGTATTTCACACATCTCAAAATGTCTTATATGCTATCGCATTTGGAAAACGGCTATCAAGTCGATCAAGCCATTCTGTCAGAAGAAGACAGAGTCGTGGTAAGTTTATTTCAACATGTTTCACTCATTCATCTCTCGTTATATATAAATAAACATTAAGTCAATTACAACAGAATTATTTTGAATTAGAACTCACGCTTGAAAACAGTATCTCTTTCTTTCTAGGTGATTCGCTTTGGACATGATTGGGATCCAATGTGTATGAAAATGGATGAAGTACTTTATAATATCGCGGAGAAAGTCAAGAACTTTGCTGTTATTTATTTGGTGGATATCACAAAAGTGCCAGATTTTAATAAAATGTAAGTAGGAATTTATGTCCTTATAAATCCATACGTTGCATCAATAATTAACAATTTAATTCTTCAAAAAATAAATAAAATTTATTATTTAAGTTAATTAAGACTAATCATTGAAATATATTTTGGTGATATAATATTTTAACAAT